ATAAATAAATAAATAAAATAAATTTTTAAAAAAAACAAACAGGGCTGGTGAGATGGCTCAGTGGTCTAAAGCACCTACTTAGAACAAGCTAGGCTAAGCAAAGCACAGGGACCGCAGTTCAATCCCCCAGCACCACATGCCAGCCAGCCCCGCCCCCTGGTGGGCTGAGCTGGCCACACACACACACTAAATAAATAAATAAAGATTTAAAAAAAAAAAAAAAACATAAGATGCTTTGAGGACACATCTATTCCAAACCAAAATATGCAAGAAAAGGGCCGGCGAGATGGCTCAGTAGAATAAGCGCTTCCCTGGCAAGCGCAAGGGCCTGAGTTCAATCCCGGGTTCCATGAAAATAAATAAATAAATAAAATAATAAACAGTAAAATCAGTAAAATAATTTTTTTTTAAAAATGCAAGAAGAAAAAGTCAAAAAGTAGACCTATGCATCCTTAAAATGTTTAACTGCATCCTCCATTTGTTAAGTCCCATTATTTTAATACATAGCTGAAATTATCCTGTAATGCATTAACACAATCAATGCAAAGAAAAAGAACTACTGCTCAGTGGGCTGGGGAGACAGCTCAGTGGCACAAGTGCCTGCCTGGCAAGTACAAGGTCTTGAGTTCAATCCCCATGTCACCAAAAAAAAAAAAAAAAAAAAAACAAACCTGCTCAGAATGTGAGCAGTCTCAGATTTACAATCCTAAATGGACTACTGAGACATAATTTCTACTCACTTAAAACTGCCCAAGAAAAAATAAAACTTCAACATTTAGCAAGCATGGTGGCACACACCTGCAACCCAGGCACTTGGAAAGAGAAGCAGGAGGACTGCCCCAAGCTTAAAGACAGAATGAGCTACACAGTGAGCTCAAGCCCAGTCTGAACTACAAAACAAGACCCTACCTCAAAAGAAAACCAAAACACAAAGCCAAAAAAATACTATTTGTTACATACACTAAACATAGAAAGCTGCGGGCCAGCCAAATAGCTCAGTGGATTAAAGC